TAATATTGCATTATTATTATTGCATATTAATTATATGCAATAATATTAGTAGTTTATCTGCAAAAGGTGTGATTTTGGCAGATTTTAAGCTTTTTGCTTATGTGTGTTTTTGGTATTTTATAAAATGAACATATGTTGCTTTTATTTTAGGAGTAAAAAGGTTATCATAAAACAAAACATAATCCATTGTCCTCTGAATTATTCACCAGTTTGTTATTTGTATAAATTCTGTTGAGCGTGTACCTGTTACTATTCTTCTAGTCTTTGCGGATTCCGCCATGGACAAGCCAGACGAGGTCTTCCAGAAAGACCTTTTGGAGAGGGCATGTCACCAACACCTTGATTTTGGACTTCTAGCTTCCAGAATTGCGGAGAATAAATTCCTGTCGTTTTAAGTCACCCAGGTTGTGATAATTTGTTATGTTAGCTCTGGGACACGAATCTATCCCCTTTATTCCTTGAATCTTATTAGCCAATGATGTAGATTTCCATTTTGGAAATAGGCAGTCTATTCGTCTCCCATCTAAAGGTGGGGAAACTGAATTTCTGTTTAAATCTGTAGCTCATTCCAGACTCCACAGAGTGTGGCTTCTGTAGCAAAACCAGGAGTCAAACCCTCGTCTCTCTCCCCCCCAGGTTTAGGTTCTCCCCGTGATTCCCCAGCTTATAGACTGGGTTTCCAGCAGGTTTCTTAAAAGTTTTTTTTTTTTTTTAATTCCAGTGAGTTAAAATACAGAATAGTATTAGTTTCAGGTGTACAATATAGTGATTCAATACTTCCATACAGCATCTGGTGCTCATCACAAGTGCCCTCCTTAATCCCCATCACCTATCCACCCATTCCCCCACTCACCGCCCTTCTGGTGACCATCAGTTTGTTCTCTAAAATTAAGAGTGTGTGTCTAGGTTTGCCTCTCTCTCTCTTTTTTCCCTTTGCTCATTTGTTTCCTAAATTCCACATATGAGTGAAATTACGTGGTATTTGTCCAGCAGTTCCTAGTAAGTCTCATGCATCTGTTTCTAAGATCATTGTTACCCTCCCTTCGCTGCAGTGACAAAACACCAGCCCCTGGAGACCTTTCCCTGGTAGGAGCTCCTCCTCTTGGCTAATGAAAAGGGAAGTGTCCTTGCATTAAGGCTGGCCCTGTTTTAAGATCAATGAGTCCCAGCTGGGACGAATGGACTGCGACAGCTGTTTCCAGGTGTGTTGGCTGCCATTTATATCTGCAGTAGCTGATAGGTCCTCTGTCTCATTGTATCGAGGCCAGGGTGTACCCCTCACTCAGGAAACCACAGCCCCCCCTCTGACAAGGAGAAGAGAGGCCTTCCATTGTTTTCCTTTCTTTCTTCTTTCTTCAGGCTTTAAAATGAATACATGCTTTTTGAAGAAACATACCAGAAAAGATAAAGGACAAAACAAACAACAAGAATTACTTATATAATCACCAGCTGTTTACAGAAGGAAAAAAGTCTCTATATATATACATCTGGCTGTGTTGCATGTACAGACGCATTCAACAGAATGCATTCGACGCATTCACACAGAACAAATTCAAGTGTGTTTAAAAATAAACATTTATCTATAGACTCTTTGCTCATGGAGAAATCAGGCCACCGGAACAGCTTTTGTACTCTATCCTAAGCGTTTCCCCAGGTTGTTAAAAATTCTTGGTAGATACCATTCTTAATGGTCGCATACTAGTCTAGCGAGTGCATCACCACTTATTAATCATTTATTATCTGTTACTAAGCATTCAGATTCTAGTTTTTCATTAACTTAAAAAAAACACTGTTATGAGCATCCTTGATATGTCTTTGTGTACATTTCTGATTATGCCCTTGACATGAACTTACTGGGTCAGGGGCGCCTGGGTGGCGCAGTCGGTTAAGCGTCCGACTTCAGCCAGGTCACGATCTCACGGTTCGTGAGTTCGAGCCCCGCGTCAGGCTCTGGGCTGATGGCTCGGAGCCTGGAGCCTGTTTCCGATTCTGTGTCTCCCTCTCTCTCTGCCCCTCCCCCGTTCATGCTCTGTCTCTCTCTGTCCCAAAAAAATAAATTAAAACGTTGAAAAAAAAATAATAAATAAAACTTACTGGGTCCAAGGTTATAGGCATAACTTTTTTATAGCTTTGCTGAGGTATGATTTACACAACATAAAATTCACCCACGGTAAGCGTATAATTCAGTGATTTTTAGTAAACGTAGACAATCATGCAACCATGCCTACGGTTCAGTTTTAGAACATCTTTATCACCCCAGAACATTTCCTCCTATTCCTTTGCTGTCAAACTCCCATTCGAGCCCCAGACAATACCGATCTGCTTTCTAGCTGTAGAACTGCCTTTTCTAGACATTTCCAATGAACAGAATCACACAATATATGTTCTTTATTGCGTAGTTCCTTTCCCTTAGCATACTGTTTTTGTGGTGTGGTGATGTAGCATGAGTCAGGACCGAGTTCCTTTTTATTGCTGAACAGTACCTTGTATGGATGGACCACATTTTGTTTATCCATTTACCTGTTGATAGAAATTTGGGTTGTTTCCAGTTTTTGCTACGAATATTTGCTTATAAGTCTTTGTGTGGACGTTTTCACTTCTCTTGGGGAGATACCTAGGAGTCGGTCGTATGGCAAGTTCATATTTAATTTTTTAAGAAACCAAAGTATCTGCCACATTTTGCATTCCCACCAGTGGTGTATGAAGGTGACACTTCTGTCACATCCTGGTCGACACTTGCCATTTCAATTTTAGCCCTTCTAATAGCCGTATATTGGTGTAGCTTTGTGGCTTGAATTCACATTTTCCTAACGATTGTGATGATTGGCCATTTGTGTATCTTCTTTGGAGAAATAGAAAAGATTCTATTCAAACCTTTTGCTCATTTTTAATTGGGTTATGTGTCTACTTCTTGTTCTCCATATATTCTGGAAACCTGTCCTTTATCAGATCTATGATTTTCAAATCTTTCTCCTGGTCTGGAGCTTGTCTTTCCTATTTGGTTAATGATGTTTGTTGAAGAACAAGAGTTCTGAGTTTTGATAAAGTCCAATTTATCTTTCTTTTTTTTTTTTTTTAATTTTTTTTTTAAATTTTTTTTTCAACGTTTATTTATTTTTGGGACAGAGAGAGACAGAGCATGAACGGGGGAGGGGCAGAGAGAGAGGGAGACACAGAATCGGAAACAGGCTCCAGGCTCTGAGCCATCAGCCCAGAGCCCGACGCGGGGCTCGAACTCCCGGACCGCGAGATCGTGACCTGGCTGAAGTCGGACGCTTAACCGACTGCGCCACCCAGGCGCCCCTCCAATTTATCTTTCTTTGGGCATCCCCTTTTTGGGTGACTTGTCTCAGAAAGGTTTGCCTAGCATAAGTTCACAAAGGTTTTCTCCTATGTTTTCCTGTCAAAGTTTTTTCGAATATGATTTGAAAATGATTTTTAGTTTTTCATTTTGGATGTAATTCATGGAATATAAAAAATCAGAAAATATAGATAAGCAAACGGAAGAAAATACAGATCCCTCATAATCCCACCACTCAGACATAAACCACTACCAAAATTTTGTTACATACGTCTGTATTGGTTATCTATTGCTGCGTAACAAATTATCCCCAAAACATAATAGCTTAAAACAGCTCACATTTATCATCTCAAAGTTTTGGGGGGTCAGGGATCTGGGAGTACTTTTCTGGGTGCTTTGTCTCAGGATCAGTCATAAGGCTGGGAGCAAGGTGTCGGTGGGGCAGTTACCTCAAGACCTGACTGGGAGAGAATGTGTCTCCATGCTCACGTGCAGGCTGTGGTCAGGCTTCCAGTCCTCGCTGGCTACTGGTGGGGGACACCACTTCCTTGCCATATGAGTCTCTCCATAGGGTGACTGGCAACATGACAGCCGGCTTCCCTGAGGACAAGAGAAAGAGAGGGGGGACTCAAATAGAAGTCACAGTCTTTGTGTAATCTAGTCTTGAAAGCAACATTCCATCATTTTGTGCCTTGTTCTGTTCATAGAGGTGAGTCACTAGGTCTAGCCCCCTCTGAGGGGAGGGGATTATATGAACACATAAATACCAGGAAGTGGGGATCATCAGGGACCATCTTGGAAGGCTGCCACATTGTCCTTCGAAGTTTTTCTTATGAACTAAGTGGCGAATCCTTCCCTGTGGAACATACAGATGCAGGAGATCCTTTCTAGACTCTACTGGGTTGGAGTCTCCATAGGTGGGAACTGCCTCTCTCTGTAAGGCTTTTAAAAACTCCACAGCGGGGCGCCTGGGTGGCTCAGTCAGTTGGGCGTCCGACTTCAGCTCGGGTCATGATCTCGTGGTCCGTGAGTTCGAGCCCTGTGTCGGGCTCTGGGATGATGGCTCAGAGCCTGGAGCCTGCTTCCGATTCTGTGTCTCCCTATCTCTCTGCCCCTCCCCTGTTCATGCTCTGTCTCTCTCTGTCTCAAAAATAAATAAACGTTAAAAAAAAATTTAAAAATAAAAACTCCACAGGTCATTCTAATGGAGCCAGGGTTAAGGGTCACTGGCAAATTTGGGGGGAGCCTGGGTGGCTCAGTTGGTTGTGTGTGTGACTTTGGCTCAGATCACGATCTCACGGTTCGTGGGTTCAAGTCCTTCTGTCGGGCTCTGTGCAGACAGCTCAGAGCCTGGAGCCTGCTTTGGGTTCTGTGTCTCCCTCTTTCTTTGCCTATACCCCATTCACACTCTGACCTCTCTCTCTCTCTCTCTCTCAAAAATAAAATTAAAAAAAAATTTAAAAACATTTAAATGTAATTGGATATGTCCCCATATGGATTCCAACTATGCATATTGCTCGGAAATATTTTTCCCCTCAAATAGACTTGAAGGTCAGTGTGGCCTTGGTTTCCAGTGTGAGGTGGCCATACTCTTCCTCTACTCCTCAGGGCACCGTGTTTGAGGGTTCCTTTGCAGGCACAGCCCCGGCAATCTGGCCCGGTAATCATGACCTTTCCTTCTGGGGGCTTCAGAGTAGCCACGCGGGTGGCAGAGGCAGCCTGTCCCCGTGTTTGGCTCCAGAGAGGCTCCAACATCAATCCGTCAGCCCAGAGGACACTTTTAGATGCAAGTCTGCTGGTGTGGGGACTTTATGAGAACAGGAGTCCCTGGCTGTGAAATTGCTGGCATTTCATGATGTGAGAGAAGATTTACAAGCTCCTTGCTGCGCTGGCTCTAAATCCTGGCCCAGTGATTATGCAGCCAAGCCTGTGAGACAGGCAGGATGTGAGGAGGTAGCAGGTGGGAGACAGGGGAAGCTACCACCCCACTGTGCCCAGGGCCCCTGGCCCCAGCCACGCACCCGGCGGCGGAGGGGGAGGGTACTCTGCTCAAGGTTCCTTCTGCCATATCACACTCTGGGGAGGAGTCGCCCAGTAGTCATTAGTGAGCAAACGGGCATGTAGGATTGTGCGAGGTCGTGGGCTCAGAATGGAAGGGGTTTCAAAGAGCTACATCTGGTTCTTAACACCTGCCCTGCTAAGAGGCCATTCTGCATCTGCTTGATATTGATCCTTACCACGCTGTGCACAGGAGACACCTGGCCCACACTCTCTCATAACCCTATTTAATTTTTTTTTTATAATTCTGCTGAATATATATTTTGGGTTTTTTATGTTTAGTTTTTTAGTTTTTTGTTATTTGTCTTCCCCACTAAAATGTAAGCTCCCTGACAGCAGGAACCTTGCATGTCTGGCACTCAAGTTATTGCTGGACCTTAAGACATATATATTGACAGAGCAAATGAATGAATAAGTATTTGGATACCTCCAGGGGCGGGGAACTCACTACCTTACACGCCAGCCTGTCCCGTGTCTGGACGGCTCTTGACTGTTGGCTTTTCCGCAGCTTCCTGCCATTTACCTCCATGTGGCCTTCCTTCACTGTCCACAGTTGTAAAGCCCCACCGAACAAGCCCACCCCTCTCCCCCATTGGAGCTGTCCAGAAGTTTGAAAACAGTGCCCACCCACCTGCTTCCCAGGATGAATGTTACGTTACCGTATCTTTTGGCTGTCCCTCATGTGTCAGAGCCATCCTAGTTACCCTCCTCTGAAGGGCTCTAGGGGGGTCACTGCCCCTCAGTACGTTAGGCTAACTTGACATTTTGCAGATTTTGAGAGCCCTCTCCCCCCGGAAACATTTAGATCACTTCTTCATGCTCTAGGTTTTTAGGTAGGAAAATAGTCAGTGGGTTTAACTGAGGATTGATGCTTTTAACCCATCCTCATTCTGCTTCTTTGCCCCAATTTTTCAGTAAACAGCAGCTAAAAGTAGGGGCCCCTGGATTTGGGGGGCCGAATGGTTCTATTGGTTTTGCTGCTCCATAACTCTTAGGACCAGGATGTGGGTGTGGGAAGTGGCACTGAAGGCAGCCTGTGCTGTGTGGTCCCAAGCAGCAGAGGAGGGGATCAGCCCTCTGATCTTCCAAGGCAGTGCTCACCCGGGGGCAGGATGGAGGAGTGGGGAGCTCAGACCCTAGGAGATGCTACCAGAATCTGAGGTGAAGGGCTGTAGCCTTTGAAAGTGGACATACAGTTTTCTTGTTATTCTCATCATTTAATTGACAAGTCAAAGCTCAACAGTTTCATTGCCTGGTGGGAGGACAAAACTAAGCATGCAAGTGTCATCGGGGAACTCGCTCAGCTCCCCAGGTTTGAATCGGCCTCACCACACTGGTGTCCAGCTTAATAGGCCCACCCTGACTTCCTTCCTCCCCTGGTAGCTGTGCCCCTTCCAGACCCAGGTGCAAGACCCCAAGTGTACAACAGGAACGATCCCCGCTCTGATGCCTGGTGGGGGTGCTCTGAGGAGCCCAGGAGGGAACCACTCGGAGAGGCTTGATAAACCAGCAGGTGCCCAGGAGGGGAAGGGCTGGTGACTGCCTCAGGGCTTCTGGCTCACATCAGCCACTGCTCTGGCCTGGGTCTCAGGTTGTCCCCAGTTCCTCGAGATGGGCCTGAGGCCCGAGCATTTGAAGTACATAAGATGTCTGGATATTATTTCGCAGGTGACAAGGAGCGGAGGATGGGTCGCTTGGATACGCTGCTCAATGATGGTTTCATTCATTCGTTGATCCATTCACTCGTGCAGTTAACCCATGCTCTGGGTCCCCTGCAGCCAGACCCGGTGCTGGTTTCTTCTCTCCTCCTTCCCTCTTCTAGCAGCCCCATCTCCTACCCTAAGCAATTTGAAGATATATCTAAATAAAACATTCAACAATAAAAACGAAGGGCCTAGAAAAAGCCAGTTGTGTACAAATGCTACTTCATTATTCGGAAACGTTTGAAATGATAAAGTACCCAAATCAGAGTTTTGTAGAAAAGTCCACATTCTTCTCAATCTCCAGTCTAATAACATGCCCCCGAGCCATCTCCCGTTGCAAGAGTAGGCACTGCAGTGTCATTCTAAAAATCATGGCTTGGCATTTTATAGGGAGGACAGGGGTTTGGGCAACAATTTCATTAAAGAAAAGAACCGAAGGGGTTTCAACATCCACAGAACGCTGGTTGGGCTGCTGGGACTCAGGTAACTATCAAAGCCACTTAGAAAGAGCAGGTGACTTAGAATCACATGCTGTCACAAAACAGACACATACCGAACGAAAACTTCACAGGCTGGTTGTTTGGGCCTTAGGAAGACCTGCCTCTCCTGTCCCCAGGAAGAGAAAAGCCCCTGGGTAAGTGAGGTGTCCGTTCTGGCAGATGCCAGGGGTGGGTGAGAGCCCTTTCTCCGGCACCCACAGCTCCCACTGCTCACCTGCTCCATGGGTAAAGGCATGGCCCACACAGAAGTAAGGTCAAAGGTTATCTGGGAGATGCTGACCGCTATTCCTGCTCTTAACCGGTGCCCACAGCCAGCGCATCAGACATCTGATGAACAAGCTTGGGGACCGTGGTCCACCAGTTTACCAGCTCTCACTGGCCTCTGGATCCTGATTTAGGAAGAAACCTGATGGTCCCTCAGTCTCCCCACTCCTGCCATGGGCGGCTACACAGTGATGAACCCTGGGAAGCTCATAGCAGCCGCTGCTGTGTAAACAATGAGAGGTTCAGAGTGTTCTGAGGGCCCTCGCGCTGTTCCAGCAGGTCGGTGTCACTGAGCCTGTGAAATACGAGGCCCAGGAGGTGAGGAAGATGGGAGCACATTGTGCCCGCCGCCCTGGTGCTGGGGGTGAGGGCCACACCGTGTACCCTGGCTTTGCAGCGTGCCGTTTCCCTCGCTGCCAGCCAAGGTCAGCGGTTTCACCCCTGGTACCATTTATAGCTTTATCGTGGCACCGAGGGCCACAGTGCCTCCCTCCTCTGGTCTATTTCAGTCCGAGCCTCCGAGTCAAGACGAAAGGGAGCCGACAACTGTGTGCAGCTGGAGCCCTCCCGGCAGATGTGTGAGCACACGGACTCGGCTCCGCTCGGATGCCACCTGCCACGAATGGCCGCGTGCTTTGGGGGCTGGCTTTCTAACCTTGCTAAGACTCACTGCCCCCTTCTCTAAATTGGGGATTAAAAGGACCTACCATACAGGGTTGTCGTTCACCTGAACTATATGTAAAAACAGAGCATAGAGCTTGGCACAGAACATGTGCTTGGTCAGTGAGAGTGTCCTTCTTCCCCCAGTGGGTCCTTCCTGGTGTGGGCAGCCCAGGACAGTCTGGGAGAAGCTGCCTTCTCCTGCAGTCCTGGGAGCCACAGCTGGGCCACTTGTTAGCTGGGCTTCCAGAACTTTTCATGTCTCTTTATGCCAGAGGGAACAGGGGCTCCTCGAGGCCTTCTTTGCACCCAGCCTTGATGAGGCCGCGGAACCAATCTTCCGTAATGTATCACAGGTAAGATACCGACCGTAGTCTAGAAGTAACTGCTCTGGGGCTATAGATTCTCCCCAAGT